AGACCCATTTCTGTAATATACTCACATATCTATATTATTGCTAATATATATTGTAATATATCTATATCACTAAAGCACTTCTGGATGGATGCAAACTGCATTTCGTTGCCCTGTACCTGTGCATGTGCAATGACAATAAAGTTGAATTCTATTCTAATTCTATTCTATTAATCATGGCCATAGACCTATGCATATATCTGTGCATGTTCTCGGTCATCCAGGTCATGCTAATCTAAGGAGCTTGGAAAGAAAAACAACTGGACCATTTCACCTCACCTCACTATAAAGAAGTCCAGCCGCTTTTCTTGCCAATCTCCTTGGATTACTGATGCATAGGCTTACACAGGCTGATGACTAGATATTACCAGTAACTATTTTACTTGGGAGGCTTAAATAAATTGCATAGCCTTCAAATTGTTTTTATGAATAATCTTCACATGGATCCATAAGTTACCCACTACTAACTTGGCAGCTGTTGAGCTTAAAGTTATACAAAAAATATACGATAGCAAAATATATTTTAAGAATCAAAAATAATAGTGCTCATAATGTCTAACTTGATTCAATTTACTTTTTCAGCATACTTTTGTAGATAAATGTAGAATGTTAAACGTAAGAATTTGGAAAAACAGCAACAAAACTGAAAAAGCAGAAAAAGGTTAACTGTCAATAGAAACGCGTTAGCCCTATGTACAGTGTGCCACGCTAACTTTTTTATCACAGCTACATTTGAGTTCATCGAAGGATTGTGTTACCTGCCAGAAACAGAAACACCGAAATTCTGATGACATTTGTGTTTTCTCCTTTTGGTTTGGATGTGAAGGTATTATCCATTTTTACTGTACGAAGCTGAAGTGTATCTCCGGGAAACAGTCCACTGACACAGAGCAGTCAGGCAGCCAGTCAACATGACTAAGCACACAGCTCATATCAGTAAGAGCTGAAAAGAAATCACCCTTCTTCGTCACCGAGCAATCCATTGCTTTTGTTTCGTAGCACAGTGCGACCCATAGTGGTTACACAAAGGTTTCAGAATTTCATCAGCTATGTATAACCGATTTAAATGGATGAGTTTGTGCACCTTGGGTCAGTTTTCCAGAAGCTGATTTTAAAGAGTGGAGAATTACACTGCAGCAGTACTCCCATCTTTGGGCTACAGGCTCAGAGCCAGATAAAAGGAGTGCTTTGAATCTAGGGTGGTGATAGTTGTAGAGAGTAGCCCAAAAAGGAAATGTCACAGGTCTGACCACTCGAACAGCAAACATTTAAATAGAAAGGCATTTATATAGCAGTTTTCTAGTCTTATTGACAATTCAAAGCACTTTATATATCTCAAACGAATCAAACACATGCATATAACAAACTACAACACAACAACTTAACACAACTTAAAACAACTGAATAGACCACATTTATTGAAAGCAAACATTTTGACAAACTAATAACATTCAGTCTTTCTACACAAATACTACATGTCAAAGGAAAAGAATATTTCTGGGTGTAGGTGCAAGTAGGTGCAATTTTATTTGTAAGAATGTGTGTGTGTGTGTGTGTGTGTGTGTGTGTGTGTGTGTGTGTGTGTGTGTGTGTGTGTG